ACACTGATGTATAGGTTTTATTAATTTTAATTTCAGTATGTTTTAGTTATTTTAGTTCACGTAATGAAAATGAGAAATGTTGCTTGGTAACTATAGCTAAAATAAAATATGTTTTTATTTCAGTTAATGTTTATTTTATTTCAAGTAATGAAAGTGTTTTTAGTTTTAGTTATAACTCTGTGACTCACATATCACCCAGAAAAAGGTTGGGCCAAACTTCATCCACATGATTTCCGCTCCTCTTCCCTCCGAACAGTATTTTCTCCAGTTCCTTAATGGAGGGAGTTTCACAGCTAGCATCCATTAGAAAGACTCATCATGGATCTCTGTGTCTATGATATGACCACAAACACAACCTCTATTGCGTCTCTCTGCTAAGATGTGCATCTCATATCTGCTGCTGTCCAGTATGAGCAGACACATTTATCTGAAGTGACAGGAGCAGCTGCAGCTGGTCTTCTAAAATTAACATTTAGCAATGCACTGGTGTTCACCCAGGACACCCTAGTAAGTGCACAATCACCTTAATGAGTTTGCATGAACACTAACCACATTTAGACAATGCTGCTTTAAAGAAATAATTACAGTTAATTAAACAAATTAAACCTGACTAAACAGGTTGAGAAGCCATGACTTCAAACATTAAAGCCATGAGAAACCCACCAGCGCTCTGAATAAAAGAGCTGTAATTACGCTGTAATTCCACCGCTGGCCAGCGGATGTCGCTGTGCGCTCGGCAGCGGAAGTGACCTCATCTGCGGTATTTACACCCTGAAACTGAAACACACTTCCACACACAGCTGTCAGCTCGACTGTGCTCGTCTAGCCGGGTCAGGGCGCGATGAGTTACCACAAACGTCCCGACAGAGTGACATTTAGGAGATTTATCGCGATTCGGACCGAAGAATCTGATGTGTAACGTAAGTGAAGCGCAGCAGGCTAACCGCTAGCATGCTAACACACTCGCATGCATCTGAAATATCATATTAATACTAGAGTGATGAATTGTAACTGGCGTATGAATCCAATGTCAGGTTCGTTCTTTGTTTTATTTTCATTTTTTATTGTTGTGATAGGTCTATGAGTGAGAAATGTTAGTCATGTAGTGTCTTTATTCAAAGGCATTTGCAGATTTAAAGTGGCACACTGAATATTCATGTCATTTAGTGATTTTTAATATTTTGTGTTATGATTATAAGCCTCGTTTACCTCAGTCAGACGGTCATTTAATGATTTAAGTCAGCTTCAGATATCACAAAGCAGTTGTTAAAACTAGTTAATCTAACCTAGTTAAACAACATTTTGTGTAAAATGCTTTCTAAGTAGACAGCTCACTAGGTTTGAGATACATCCAGTGTTATTCTAACAGGTTGGCTTTTCCTTATCAGCAAGCTTGTCTGTATCGGGTATTGATTAAAGTCCTTAGTGTAACGAGCTGCGAGACATAATTATACCTAAGGGTACTTCACTAACAGGCTCATATTACTTTACTGTTGTTTTCTTGCGTCTGATAACACGGCCTTATTAAGCTTTGCTGCGGGAGGGCGTGGTTAGCGGTGGGCGTGGTGAGTGTGGGTGTGGCCACATGTTGGTTCGACAGCGTTGGGCGTGGCTTCTACTGTGATAATGTTAATGAGCAAAAGTACATCTTTTAAAAATCAAGTCGGTTTGAGTGAATGACTAGCAGACTAATTAGTCTTAACTGGAATGAAAGTTTATAATTAGACGTTTATCAATTATAATCAACCCGTTTCCACCATGGTTACTTTTTGTCTCACATTTGACACTTTTATTCAGAATGGCGAGATATAAACTTAGAATTGTGACTTTTTTGCTCACAATTCTAAATTTACATTTTACATTAGTTTCCCCCACAGAATAACAAATAAAAAAGGTAATTGCAACTTGACTTATTTTTCTTGCTGTTGCAACTTTATATCTCACAATTTAGACTTTTGTTCTCAGAATTTCAGGTTTCCTATATCAAATGCAAGTAATAAACCCACAATTCTGACTTTTTTCTCAGAAATGTGAGTTTATATGTCGCAATTCTGAGTTTGTATCTCACAGTTCCGTTTTTTTTTTTTTTCAGAAATGCAAATTGTGAGGGGGGGAAGAAAACAAAATTGTGAGATAAAAAGTTGCAGTTAACTTTTTTATGCAAGTCTTTTTTCTACTTTTATGGTATACTTTTCTAAATTCCTTTCCAATTTTGAGTAAAATAAGTAGTAAATACATTTATTCTGATGGGATTGAAAAATAATGTTTATTATCAGCAACTTGACCTGCTCTAGAATGTGAAACAAGATGAATTTGTTTGATAAAATAACACCAGTGACAACTGCAATAGTGCGGTCACTGTCTTTATTTCAGTGAAGGTCATTTTCTGACATTTATGATGTTTACTCTTTACTTACTGATTTGTTATGCAAACTATGCAAAGTCCGATAGAGACATGCACATGTTCAGATGTGATTTCACATGCATCTCTGTATTGCATGTGCCTAAAGCTGTATTTGAGCTTCTTCTTTTGGGGAGAAAAAGACTATAAAGTCACTGCACTGTCATAAGACTGAGGACACACGCTGATGCAAAGCTGTTAGACGGTCGGTCAACACGTGTGCTGCTGAGCTGTGAGGGTTCGCCGGCGTGCAGCGGTGTTTTACTGATGTGTCAGTAGATCTGTGGCTGTTTCAATCAGGAAAAGAGGATGTTTCCTCACATCTTACACTGATGCCAGGACAAACGGCTCAGTGTTTCATCTGTGAGTGAGACGTCAGCAAAACAAAAGACCTGTTTCTGTTCCTGTGGTGTGTTAAAATGAAACGTTATATTGGGTGGAAAGTAGTTTGTGTAAGTGTGGTTGTGTTTCTAAGCATTACAGATCTGTTGCTTCGGAGCAGAGTTAACAGACGTCCAGAGGTGAAAGACAGACACGCTGAGTGTTTTCTGAGAGCTAATGAACCGAGATTCAGAACAGAATGAGGTGTATTCAGACCTACTTTTTGAACTCTTTCTATGCCAGCGGTTCTTGACCTTTTTGTCTCCTTTTGTCCATAACAATAATTGAAGGCCGGCAGTCATAGTTTCTGACCATTAAGTTCCAGGATTCCAGAAGTTTTAAGAGCCAAATGTTTTTCTGGATTCTTTTTAAATAATGAATTTGCATACGTTTTCTACCTGAATAAAAAATATTTATACTGCACATTGGCATAACAAGAATTGCCCTTAACACTGTAACAAACTATGTGATTAATAAGTCACATTTTTTTGTTGTTATTATTATTTCTTTGATCAAGAATATTAACTATTTAAAATAATGAACCAATTTCAACTTCATTTTTTAAGTTATATGAGATTCAACTCTTTTTTTTTTTTTAAGTAAATTTAATGCAGTTTCAGTTGAAATGACTTGTACAGCCAATTTGATTACTCAAAAAAATTAAGGCAGCATGTGAACTCTGTAGGTGGAATTCTTTTTACCGTGTTGTCATTTTAAAATATATAAATTAACATGACTGTACAGGTCTAGAAATCACACTTAAAGGGGTCATATGATGCTTTTTTTAAAGATAATTATTTGGTGTAACAGAATATGTTGACATGCTTTAATGTTAAAAAAACAAATTATTTTTCAAATACTGTACATTATTGTAGGTCCTCTATGCCCCGCCTCTCTCAAACGCTTCGTTTTCAACAAAGCCCCCTCCTTTGACAAGCGCAGTCTGCTCTGATTGGCCAGCTGACTCAGTGCATTGTGATTGGCCGAACACCACAAGCACGCGTCGGAAATGTAACGCCCCTTACCATAATCGCAGCTTCAGCTTTCAAAATAAATGTTGACAGACACAGTGATGAAGCTGGTATGTGTTTGCAGTACACAAGCCACCGTTAAGACAGCTGACTCCACTGTGATGTGACGCTGTCTCTCTCTCTCTCTCTCTCTCTCTCACACACACACACACACACACACACACGCGCGCACACACACGATGCACAAAACTCCGCATTTGAACAGTCAATAGCAAATACTTAAACTAGTAACAAAACATACCTACAGTCGCTGATTCAGAAGCGCCAGATTGTCATAGCAAAGTCGGAATT